CAATAGGTATGTAGTATGGACAGCTTTGTAAACAACCTATTAAGTGCAACTGCAGTCCAGAAGGGCATCTCACTACATATTAGTATGTTTAGTATTATGGCAGATGTTCAGAAGGGAATGATGACGCTCTTCCTGATTTAACATCCACGTGCCGATAGTGTAAGCATTTACTGTTTTTATACCCAAGTCCTGTTTTGTAGTTTTGGTAAAAAAAAGTCAAAGCTGTGGCAAAAGTTACTTTCACCTCAAGTTTACAATAAAAGCAAACTATGTACTCTCTGAAAACAAAAACCTGGGTTTCTAGCTAAATCCCTGCTTTGTGGATGCCGATGTTTTAGCTGTGGAGGGTTGATAATCTGGGCTTTGTAGCACATTGTTGTGTTTATTGTGCAGGTGTTCAAAGCATTATTGAGCCACCCAAAGGTCAGGCTTTGAAACAGAGACCTGGATTTATGTAATATTCAGATCAAGGCCAACGATAGACACCAGGGATTCTGTGAATTCATTGGGAATACATCCAATCAAGGGTGGATTTGCAGGGGAATTATGAAGCCTTGTCCTTTTTTTCTGCTGTCGCTTTTTTTTGTTTTGTTTTTCCTGGCAGTTCATGTATCGAGTCTGTAGATAGATGACTTTTACACTTAATCATTTTTGTTTTTGATACTCTATAGTGGGAGTGGTCACCCTATTGGGGTGCAGACTATGAGAAATCTGGCTTGTGTGTACAATACAAAAGTCTGAATACAAGCCGGGTTTATATTATAATTACTTTTTTTGCTTAGTCCGTGCTTCTCTTGCTTGTACCGTATTTTGTTTGACTCTTGGGACATTTTATAGCAAAACGCCTGAGAAATAATGAATCGTCAGTCTATGCGTACTGCTACTGTAAGCAGCTCCACAGGAGAGTACATTCTGTAACGTTTTTGAAAACCTCACGATATGACAGCAGATCATTTCTCAACGCAATATAGGAACTGTCCTACGCTTTCTCTAGCGGCGGTTTCGGAATTGACACATCAAGCTTGCGGAATTAGTATAAATTTGAGAAAACTGTCCTGATAAGCACCAACATTTATCACTTTTTTTTTTCCATGTGCTTGCTGGTGATCCTCGCTTCATTGAACGCATAATGCAGCAAAACAGTCAAAAAATATCATTATCCAACATAAAAAAAAGGAGCAAAACAGAAGGTGCCAGCTGGAAAAGAAAAGGAGCTGGCTTTGTAAAAAGGGAAAGGACATTTTAATTATATATTTTTTTTGCATTTGTTTGACCCTTTTAAAGGAAGGGATTGGGAGATAGCTGAATATTTTGTTTTTTTTTAATAGAACTTTGTCCACTGGCGTAATGGCCTCTGAAAGAGGTATTGGTTCAATATCATTCATGGTCTGTCAGGCAATCAAACCTGGCTTTTAGACTTCTGCACATTTCTGTCCCAGGGCTTCCACCCAAAAACATCTCTCAAAAGCCTCACACACTCTCATCCCAGTCCAAAATCTTGTGGTCCTCAAATGGAACAAACTAGGACACCAGATCTGTACTTGTGTAAATGATCATCTCATGGAGAAGCTTGCAGGACAATGGCATAATCTCCAGGAACAGCATGAAAAAAATTGGGACCACCGGCTATCCATTCAGAATACTTTGATATCTATAGCAGCGTTTTTCAACCACTGTGCCGCGGCACACTAGTGTGCCGTGAGATATTGTCTGGTGTGCCGTGGGAAAAATTCCAATTTCATCTGTAACATGTGGCTTCGGCTCACAAATAGACCAATCATTAGAATCTAATGATTCAGTGGTCGGCAAGCCGCGGCTCGCGAGCCACATGCGGCTCTTTACCCAGTCTAATGCGGCTCTTCTTGCCGGGCGCCTGCTCCCCTCCCTCCTCTCGGTCGGCCGCTCCCCTGCCTCCTCTCGGTTGGCAGCCCCAAAAGTCCGCGCGGACCTTTTAATCCGGCTTGCGGATGTGGCTGTCAGGATGTGTGTAGGCGGGGCAGCGTGCCGAACGTGAGGGGAGGGGAGCTAGGCTCCTCTCACAGTCCGCCCTGAAGACCCGAACGGCGCGGGAAGACAGCGAGAGGAACGCAAAAGGTAAGTGAATTGACACGGGGGACTTGGCTTACTAGAAGGGGGGGGGGGGAATAGTACTGTGGGGGATGAAATACTATATGAGGGATGAATTACTATATGAGGGATGAAATACTATATGGGGGGATGAAATACTATATGGGGGATGAATTACTATATCAGGGATGAATTACTATATGAGGGATGAAATACTATATGGGGGGATGAAATACTATATGGGGGGATGAAATACTATATGGGGGGATGAATTACTATATGAGGGATGAAATACTGAAATACATATGGGGGGATGAAATACTATATGAGGGATGAAATACTATATGGGGGATGAATTACTATATGAGGGATGAATTACTGTATGAGGGATGAAATACTATATGGGGGGATGAAATACTATATGAGGGATGAAATACTATATGAGGGGATGAAATACTATATGGGGGGATGAAATACTATATGGGGGATGAAATACTATATGAGGGATGAATTACTATATGAGGGATGAAATACTATATGGGGGGATGAAATACTATATGGGGGGATGAAATACTATATGGGGGGATGAAATACTATATGAGGGATGAATTACTATGGGGGATGAATTACTATATGGAGGATGAATTACTATATGGGGATTAATTACTATGCTTACTATGGGGGAATATTACTATACTTACTATGGATGACACATACACATCATTCATCTACTCTTGGTCCGGCCCCCGGGTCCAATTATAAAATACTTTATTATTTCATAATAAAGTAATTATAAAATAATTTCTTTGTGTTTGATTCCTATTCAAGAGAATTACTTTATATATAGTCAATATAGGCACAGAGGTAAATTTTTTTAACATTTTCTAATGGTGGTGTGCCTCGTGATTTTTTTCATGAAAAAAGTGTGCCTTTGCACAAAAAAGGTTGAAAAACACTGATCTATAGGATACATATTGAAGTATAACTAAAGGCAAAGCCTTTTTCCTTTTGCATAGAGTGGAGATGGATTAGAACAACTGTTAGATTTTTAAAGCTACCTCTGTCCCCATTAGGGCGATTCACCCTCTTTATTTGTTCTGTTTACTGTTATCAAAAGTAAAAGAAAACCCCATGTTTTGGGTTCCCCAGAACAGTAATAGAGGGAAATTCTTCCAATGGGGACACGAGCTCTGGTGACCCCGGGGGTGGGGGGGGGGGGGGTATGAGTAATGGATTTCCTTAATTTGCAGGGATTTCCTCTTCGTGTTTTAGCTATTTGACAGGAGTTGAAGGGAAATCTTCACAATGGGACTTAGATGGCATAAAAGCTGATGGGTTTTGACCCTCCCTTACTCTACCCAAAATGAAAAAAAAAGTTTTGCCTATAGTTCTACTTTAACTTCGCACTTGAACATTAAACTGTCTCACAAATGAGGAACTACACCCCTGGGGCAGAGTCCTCACTTTTTCAAAGCCCATTTTGTTAATCCCCCCCCCCCTCACACCTTACCCCTGTACACCCCATTCCTTCTCTCTCCTATACAGCCCCTTTTCTTGCAAGCCGTTCTAAACATAGTCTAGATAATCAAAGGATATGCTTGCTCGCCACTATTTGGAAATTTCTAAAGTCAGGTTCTACAGACTTTCCACCCTCAATGATATGGCCATATTTTGAGCTGCAAGGTTACCAATCTTAATGAATAATTACATATATATACAAATATACAAATGTCTTCTGTCAATGGCCTACAGTATAAAATGTGCTTCTCTTTAAATCCACATTCATCACCTTTTTGGAAACTATGATTTCAGCAATATTCATCTATTTTTTTTAAATTCACTTCTGTATTCTAAAATCAATTTGTATCCAATTAAAAAGACAATTCTATATAAATAATACTTCTCCCAAGAAAAATGAATTTAGTTGTAAAACAATATAATGTTCCAGAAACAGAAGTAGCATACATTTGTTGAAATATAGTTGTTATAGTTCAAATATATGATATACACAGATGTTCTGAAAGGACGTTGGCTAGTATATTATTACAGGTACATATATGTAAAGCACTGTGTAGATTGAGGGCACTATATATAGTACATTCACACCAGTCCCTGCCCTCAAAGAGCTTGCAGTCTAATGTCCCTAACTCACATTCATACATATACATACTACGGCCAATTTAGATAGGAGACAATGAAACTACCAGCATGTCTTTGGAGTGTGGGAGGAAAACCCACGCAGGCACAGGGAGAACATGCAAACTCTACACAGGTAGTGCTGTGGTTGGGATTCAAACCAGTTTGCCAATTTATGATAAAAGTATTGATGAGTATATACAGGAGACATAATAAATGAAGAAAAGAGGGACAAACGGGGATGTTAAAAATAATGGACACCTTAACGGATTAATGAATCTTTCCTGAAAGCGGTTTAAAAAAAAAAAAGATCTTTTTGCTGATGAAAAATCTGCTTTTGCTGGTGTTTTTTTTTTTTTTTTTTTTTTTTTTTTTTTTTTTTTTTTTAACATGGATATCTGAAGATCTATTGACAAGTTATGCCAATTCAGACCTAATGGATGCTGATTTTCAGCTTGATTATATGGCACAATTTGGTTCTGTCGCATCCATGAGGGGTACATGCCTTGTCACGGTCTCTTGCAAAAGACTTAAAAACAACCAACTCTGGAGTTAAGGGTGACATTTAAAAGTCTAAATAAAAATAGTCTGTCTTTTGGTAACATTCGATGTTTATTAGCTGTGATGGAAAATCTAAATTTTTTTTTTTAATAGCTTCAGTAAATGATGTATGTATAGTTTTATTGATGTTGACAAGAACAACTTTTTATATTTGCATGTGCCTATGATTAAAATTTTTTTCATTGTAAAAGTTTTGTACTGTTATTAAGAATTGTCATTATGCCCACTCTTTTTAGCGATCAGTGCAGCCTTTGGGGCAGACAGGAAGAAAGACTAAGGTATAGTAGCTGTCTATATTGCTGGCATGCCGTATGGTTTTTGTGTGCAGTTTTTTTTTTTTTGCATTAATGCACCGTTTTTTTTTTTTTTTTTTTTTTTTTTTTTCTTCCTCCCTTGTTTGTTGCCTGCAGTAAACATTCTACTTTTTAGTATATGGAGTGTTTTTATTTTGTGTTTTTGTGGTTTTCATTTTTTGCCTGGGTCATTTTTGTTATGCAATTGACACGCTTCTGGACGTTGTTGCGTTGAATGCAGTATGCTCTGTAGCTTGAAGCTTCGCTGCAGTTCTGTTGTATATTGACTTTCTTTAGTTTAATTCAAAGATAAAGCTAATTCGAAGCCTGGCAGTTTGTGAAGAGTCTCCTCCTCCTTCCACAGCTGACAGCCCGCTGGACGTACAGGTAATAAACTGCCCTGAAAAGCATGCGCAGTTTAGTGATCCTACTTGTGTTAAACTGGAGCACCTCTTTTTATGAGCTGATCTGTGTACTATTGTTTAGATATTGTATTTACAATAGGGAAGTTCGACCTTAAAGCGGAACTACACTGCATCTGCTAAATGTGTATATAGACTGCGCTGCCAAAATGTGAATCTAAATTACTCAATTTGCAACATGTGAAAATGGGGTTGGGGGGGTATAAAAACATTTTTTATTTATATACCTTGAAATTTCCACTCGCATTGGTGAGTGGAAATTATGGTGGGGGCGAGTGTGTCCCCAGGGCCGTCTTGCTGAGCAGGCTCGGAACTCGGGGCCGGATCTGTCACTTGCACTGGGAGCCGTCAGACTGCTCAATAGTTGAGTAAAGTGAGAGCAAAGGAAGGAGTGTGTGCTGTGCTCTCTGCCTCCCCCTAGAGTGCAGTACCCAGCTCTGTGAGTGAATGTAACGAAATACTGCAACTTTTTATAGGGCGGAATGTGTGTGTATATTTGTGTGTATCTGTACATGTCTGCGTGTGTGTGCATGTACGCGTGTGTGTTTTTTATGTACGTACATGTGTATGTGTGTGTACGTATGTATGTACATGTGTCTGTGCGTGTGTATTTCTGTGTATGTGCGTGTGTATTTCTGTGTCTGTACATGTGTCTGTGTGTACATGTTTTTGTGTGTGTATGTAAACCTACATGTATGGGTGGTTTGGTCAGGTTCAGGATTATGTGGTTATTATGGGTGGTAGAGTATGGGGCATTTGAGGTAGAGTTATGGTTTTGTGAGTGAAAGATTATGGGAGGTTATGGTTGTATGCGGTGCATGGTCTAAGTAGGATGGAGTGTTTAGGGGGACATTGGAGGCCCTGATGTAATGTGGGGGGGCTCTGGGGACCCTGATGTAATGTGGGTAACATTTAACAGTGTAATTTCATGAAATAATTTACGAGGGAGTGTTTAAGGGCGGAATTAGGGATGTGGCAGGGTAGGGGTTGGGTGGGGCAACTAGTGGTGAGTAACTCTTAAGGCCTGGCTAGTAGCTCAGAACTTGAAATTTTTAAGCCCTGAATTTTAAATATATACTTAAGTGTGACTTTGATGGGGACCATAATGTCAGGGGCGGAAAGGGGGGGGGGGGGGGGGGGACTTTGATGGGGACCCTAATGTAAGGGGGGGGGGGGGGATTCTCAAGGGTTTTTTTTTTTTCATAGGGCCTGCTCCCAAACATCTCCAGTCTTAGAATACCGCCCTATACAAATCTTTGAGGGCTTAGACTGGGTCCACACTAATGCGGTGCAGGACACCGCATGTAATTAATGCAGGAATCTCACCGCATTCCTATGCAAACTCCATGCAATGTCTGTGCGGTGCGATTTTGAGCCATATATTTTGTATGGCTCAAATTGCATTGCATCTGCACCAAAAAGGTGCAGGACCTTTTTTTCGTCATCAAGAGGCTGTCGGCTGTTCTGGATTCAGCCAGTACTCCTTTCGATGATGTCCTCGTAGGCCCACCCCCTCCATGTTTACTGAATGGAAGGATTTGCCTCCTTTGATATGTGACCTGCATTGGCCAGGAGGGAAAAAAAGAGGGCCATGCACGTCATTTGCAAGGTGAATGGCGTGCAAAGGTGGGTGGAGCTGGACTATTCCCATAAAAAAAACAAAAAAAAATCAAGACCGTTATCCATGCTCAGAACCACAGGACAGGTGGAGAGGAGGTATCATGCTGCAGAGGGTAAGGATCCGCTTTATTAGGATTAATCCTGAAAGTTTCCTGTCCAGCACCTTCATATTTATATGTTTTTTTTTTTTTTTTTTTTTTTTTTTGCCAAAGTGTAGTAAGTGTTTCTTGGAGGTGAGCGTTTGGTGCAACTTTCAGAAAACATGAAAATACATGAACACTTTAAGGAATAGATTATAAGTTTCCTTTTCTCCTTGTCTATAAAGCAGTTAGCTCTGATCTGATAGCTAGTACTAATCAAAGGCTCACTGCAGACTTTCACAAATAATCATGCCATTTTAAGTGTGGAGTAATATAGAATATGTATGCATTAAGAACCTCCTCAAGCATAATGACTGCTTTTAGGTGAAATGTGCTTTTAAGATGTCAGCATAGTTTCCAGACCAGTTAATGTCTTTCCTTTCTTGGCTTTAAAGTATCGGGGGAGGAAAAAACAAATGTTCTTATGGCAGTGCACTGACCCCTCCTCCAGCGCAATATTGTATTTAGTAAAATCTATCTAGATCGGCATCATTACGCATAATTTGTCCTTTTCTTATGTACTTTTATCTTTAATGCATTAAAATGGGACGATGTGAAGGAAGAGATTGGTTGTTGTGGCATATGTTATGTGGGCGGTAATGTCAGGCGTTTCAGAAAGAGATGTTTTTTCATGTGAGTGAATATGATGGAGAGCCTCATACAAGCAGAAGAAATTTCTATGTCTGAAACCCCAAACTCCATAATTAGTTGGCCTTTGTTAGTTTAAAGTGCATCTGAAGCTAAAACTTTTTTTTTTTTAATCTTTTTTTTTTTTTTTAAGAAATGGGTAGGAAAAGATTCCCACCCCTGCCAGATTATAAAGGCTTCCAGTGAAAAAAACCGCATTCAAGAGGTGCTAGGACTTTGATGTGAGTTTGCACAAAGTGAGAGGGCAAAACAATTCTCAGAGCTCACTGGCTCAGGTTGGGTTGCTCATAACAGACAAGGCTACCTTCCTGTGGGTTTTCAGATGACCGGAAAAAAAATGGAAGAAGCGCCAGGCCAAATAGATTGAACTAATAAATCAATTTGAACTCTTATTATAAAATTCCAACACGTTTCTGGACTCCGAAACTCGTTGACTGTATTGGTTTACCAAAAAGGTCAATGTCCTTTGGGGGCCAGAAACATGCTGGGTGTGTTTTTTTTTGTTTTGGTGCAAACCAAAAAATCAGTTTGGACTTATTTGGTCTGGTGTTCTTCCCATCGGTGCATGTTGTTGTGTTTTTTTTTTTTTTTTTTTTTTTTTTTTTTTTTTTTTTTTTTTTTTTTTCTTTCTAGATTTTTATCGCGGTTTGTGTTCCCACCACGGAGATTTACACTTGAGCCATATCAGACAGACTATTCAAAGCAATCCTTTTTTTTTTTTTTTTTTTCTTTCACTTTGCATTCACAAATGTGCTGCGAAATACAATATTTTGAGTTGTCGCCAAAGCAGGAATAAAGTTGAGTCAAATGTCTAATGGTGGTCATACACAGAATGATTTTCTATATATAATCTGTTGTCAGTAAATTTATTATCCATTTGGAAATATGAAAGGAAGAGCGTATGAAAGGAAGAGCATAAAGACTGCTCGCTCCATACACTTTTCAATCATGTTATGGAGATTCTACACTAAAAGTAGGGAGTGAATAGCCGGCAACTTTTCCTTCTGAAGAATTACTTTATTACATCAGGTAGACTGTACAGGGAAAACTGGCTTACGCGTTTCGGCAATAAGCCTTAACCATAGTCCTCAAAAGTTTTATGGCTGTAATTAAGGCTTATTGCCGAAATGCATACGCCAGTTTTACCTGTAACAAAGCAATTATTCCGAAGGACGAGTTGCCGGCTTTTCTCTACTTTCATAATCAGTTAGCTACTTTCCTACAATAAGTTTTTCTGTCCAGACCGAGCAGTATCATTTTGATTACTTATTCAGTTTCCTTAGAATTGATCAATGATACAATGGAGCTGATTTACTAAACCTGGAGAGTGCAAAATCTGAAACCAATCACCTTCTAGTGTGTGCGTTTTTTTTTTTTTTTTTTTTTTTTTTCAAAGCATAAAGTAGAACTAAAAGCAGAACAGTTTTTTTTTCTAGTTTTGGATAGAGTGGAAAGGGATTACAAACCCCCTCTCAGGTTTTATTGCCGTCTGTGCCCCTTTAAGGGAGATTCATCCCCTGTATTTCTCCTGTTTACCATTGTCATTGAAGGTGAAAGTAAAAGAAAATTGAAAATTTTGGGTTGTCCCAGAAAAGTTAAGCAGGGGAAATCTTCCAATGGGGACATTAGTTCTGATGACCTGGGGATCCCCATGGAATTTTCTAGATTTGTAGGGATTTACTCTCGCTTCCTGCTTTTGGAGAGATTTACCTTCACTTCCTGTCCCACAGCCAAAGGGACACACATGGTAAAAAAATAGAGGTTCTAGCCCTCCCTTACTCTTTCTAAAATGGAAATAAAAACTTTTGTCTATAGTTCTACTTAACTGAACAAGCTGAAGTGACTACCACGCAAAGCTGTACCAGATTTTGCACTCTTCAGTTTTAGTAAATCACCCCTTGTGCGTGTTTTCAGAACCCATAGGTCTGAACATATGACTCAATTCTGTGAAGAATCATTTGATCAGAGTGCCACATTTACGGCCACCCTAAGAGGAGATGATCCCTTTGAAGAGACTCCTCTCCCTTCCTGCTGTCTCTATTGGATAGGAAATGAAGGGAATTCTTCTGAATGGGACAAGACTGTTGTAAAACCTGACATGACTTGCGTTTTAAGAAATTGCCTGTTCTACCCCAAACTATAAAAATTATTTGCACATGCTTGATTCTGGCCCATGACTTGTAATATAGAAGAAATAAAGAATGGATAAAAACGACACCTTCAGAAGCATATCTGCAATGGGAGCTATCCTGTTTTCTTTTAATGCAGATCTCTGTGACCCAAGCCCTCCTGAAAGTCCTTTTTTTATATGTTGCGTTTTGACGTTTAAAGCCTTTTGTACTGTTGGAAATATAACTCTATGGTTCCTTGGGCTGTGGCTGATTGACCGCCCATCTGATGGTAGCTGGTGGTCCCATGTCCAATGCCACTTAATAGAACCAGCAGCATGGCACCAGCGATCATTTCAGCAGTCTGTATTCTGTTAGAGAAAATGTTACCAGCACACCGAGGATCACCTATATGGGTCCAAAAGTTTTAATGAACGATCACATAGTTACAGCAAGGCAACGTTTCAGAGTCTCGCAGGACCCCTTCTTCAGGCATGTGATGGTCGCATGCCTGATGAAGGGGTCCTGCGAGACTCCGAAATGTTGCCTTGCTGTAACTATGTGATCGATCATTAAATCTTTTGGACCCATATTGGTGATCCTCGGTGTGCTGGTGACATTCTCCCTTGCTGATTCTGTTTGGTTCCAGCAGACGGTCGCTGCAGCACCAACTTATACACACAGCCATTTTCAGCGCAGGAACGTGTGCATTTTGATTGTACACTTGTATTCTGTTAGATTCACAGGGATGCGGCTTGGTGAGGTGTGTGTTGTGCATGGGCATGTCTGTCTATTTATTTGTATAGGGTGCCTTGCCTCCTGAATTGCAGGGAAAAGGTCTTTGCTCCATTTTTGGAATTTCAGCCCACATGGGAACCACAAGTGCATTGCAGTTCCTAGTGCAGGAGTGATTTCCATTGCATGTGGTGTGCCAATAGGATTAATGGCACCTGCACACAGCTCCTGTGTTTTTTCTGTGCACGTGGTTGCGGGAACAGCTGCGGTCCCAAAGCAGCAATCACCCGCACAGATGTCAACTTGGCCTTCTTCCTACTGACCCCCGCTGTAAGGGGGTGTTCTTCCCACTGACCCCTGGTGAACTTGTTTTAGCAGGGGTCCCCTGAGACCTGAAAATTATTTCAAGACTTTCTTTGAGGTATAACTTTTGAGGAAAGCTTTTCTACATATATTTGGCCTGGAGACCCGACCATGGTCTTAAACTCAAAATAAAAAATGTAATATATTACAGTTTACCAATCATTAGTGGTGGCCGCATTAGTTTCCTTTCTTTGTAGGCTTTTTACCTTCTGTTTTCATCCGGTGATCTGCACAGCAAGCCAACTTGGACAGCAGCATTGTCAGTCTGGGGGTGAAGGGAATGTTAAAAGTACAAACAGATTTAGATACACTAAGAAATTGAAGACCAGCTCCATCTCACACTTTATACTCCGATACAGAAAGCTGTTTTTTTTCCTTTTGGGATAAAGGTTTTGCATAAATAAAAGCTGATCATTGTAAGCACCCTTGCCAGTGTGTTAAATGGTTTGTCTCAACCCTTCAACTGCTACATATGCAGGAGAGCTTGTTCTGTTGATAAACAGACTTACTATCAAGATCACCGGGTGAAAATAAAGTAAAGAGCTTAAAAAAGAAAACTAATGCAGCCATCACATCTAAGAATTGGTAAGCTGCAATTTAATGTTTACTTTTGGGTTAAATCCTGCTTTTAAATTGTTTAAACATGTATTGCAAGTTAAGCATTTGTGGCTGTGAAAGTGGATTGGTTTCTGGCAGTATAATAGCTGAGGCATAAATATATTTTGCATCTTGGTTAGCCAGCCACTTTATTGGACACTGTTAATCGGGTTTGTTTACTAAAGTAAACCTAGACATGGGCTAAGTAACTGTTGTCATCCACAAACCATTCATCAACTGAAACAGCCGCTGATTTTAAACAATAGAACCGAGAGCTTAGTAGATGACATTGGCTATTTTATGCAGCCAATAATGTCAGGCACTGCCGATATGTATTCATCTTCTGTACATCACATAAAAAGCATACTTTTTGTACCCGCTAGAGTTTGTGTGTGTGTTTGTGTGTATATGTGTGTATATGTATATGTGTGTGTGTGTGTGTGTGTGTATGTATGTATGTGTGTGTGTATATATATATATATATATATATATATATATATATATATATATATATATATATACACACACAGTATATAATTTTTTTTTTTTTTTTTTTTTTATATGTTCTTCAGCTTTAGTAATTTTATTTTAGCTTTTTCTGCAACAAAATTATAAGTTTGTTTTGATTTTATCTTAACTCCACAATTATCTTTGGTTAAGTCTTAAAATTGATAATTTATTATGAGAGATTCATATGCAGGTGTGATTTTTTTTTTTTTTTTTTTTTTTTTTTTTTCCTTCCTACCTTTTATACTTTAAAAGGTAAAGTACTATCTCCGAACAGTTATAGTGGGGTAACCGATATGCCCTTTTAATGACGTGAAAACTTTCTGCTGTGTGCCTCTCCTGATTTTGTTTTACTTTGATGGTAGGAACTTGACATCCATGAGATCCTGAATACGCACCGCCACCTACCTTCAGTCCAATGAGAGCACCCTTACTGACCGTAGAGGCCCTCTCATTGGAGGGAGGATGGCGATCACAGGGAAATGATGGAAATCAAGGCCCTAGTAACAAAGTAAATCTAGATCAGAAAGGCACACAGGGGAGAGGTTTCCAGCTAATAGTCTTTTTTTCTTTCACTTTGGATGTTAAAAGTATCTGAAAGGATTGCTTGACCTCTGATGCAGTTTGTGGTTATGGCATTGGGCCTGGCAACAAGAAGCCTTCAGGGAAGAGCTTTGTGGTTTTTATGGTGGGCAGAATAATTTAGCTGGTTATATAGTGCTGTAAGGGAGAATGTTCACTGAAGGTCCTTTCCCGGTTTTAATATTGGACTTGGCAATGCAGAACTCTCCAGGGAAGGGCTGTATGGGTTTTTCCATGGGAAGGATATTTAGCTGACCATACAGTGCTGTAAGGTAGGATGTTCACAAAAGAACCTTGCCCAGTTCTAATCTAGTTTGTACGAAGCAGGTGGCTTCTGTTCTTCTAAGATCTGCCTTTCATCTTTAGGAACCGATACCAGTCCAGCCTGCGCCATCGCCAGGAAAAGAAGAAAAGCCTTTGAAGGATGAAACTGAGAAAGGAAATGAAAAGTCCACACGTAAAATGCTTTCACGAGGTTTGTGATTTGCCCTGTAATCCCTTCACTATGTACATCAATAAAAATATTGTATGAACTTATTCTCTCATCTTCTGTATAAATATTTATGGATCTGCATTATTCAGAATTGGGCAATTTATCTCTGCTCACCGAACACAAGACGTGACCTCCCTACTTTTCGATATTGAAATGCTTCTTTTTGTAATCAAAGAGACAGTGATTACCTTAGCATGTTTCTTTTATCCCCGTGAACCTTCTTCCTTTGTTCTTTTCCCAAAATGAATGACATATTTAGTGAATCTGTCCCTCTGCCGTACTTGAGACGTTTACTATAAAGCACAAAAATGAGAAGCTGGTTAACGGATACCTAGCATAGGAAGCACAGTGTATAGACTGTTTACTTTAGGCACACAAACTATATTCTCAGTACTCATTGTTACTGGGATGAAAAATGTAACTGCTTCTGTTGAGAACTGTAACACTTTTGGATATACCATCCCTTTCTCTCGGGTGATAATGGTCACTGGGACAAATAAGGTGAATCTGCCTAGCGAGGACACAGACCATGATAAAAACTTGACAAGGGTTCTAATTCATCCAAACTCTAGCCAAAATAAAACAAAAACAAATTGTCTATGCATTAAATAGACTGGAAAAAAACCACCCGCTGTATTGAGCAAAAAACAAATAAAAACAAAACTTTTGATCAGAACTGAGGCACCTTGGATCTCCTTAACTCAAATGCTCTTGCTCTGCACAATGGTGACCTGTCCATATAAATGCTCTATTTTAATTCTTTACTTTTTTTAAAAATCTATTTTACTGTATATTTTTAATGAATTTTGCGATGTGATGTCCAATCATCGTTTTGTACCTCTGTGGGCCATGCACAAGAAAAATCTCCTGAGACTTTTTATATTGGGTTTTCTCATACATTTTTTTTGCCAACTTTATTATGAAATGGGATAAAACTACCTATTAAAAAACAATAAATCTTGGATACCTAAACTAGCAGTTATTCTACTTGTATATAATCTTATCACATGGGTCCTAGGTTGTTTCTAACGGATATTTATTTCCCAAATTTACTGCTTGGAAATAAGGTAGCCCGCTGCTATTTGCTTTATGCAAAACAACAAAATCTGTTTAGTAGAGTCCGTTTCTTTATTGTGGTGTTTGTTTTCACACACAGATTCCAGTCAGGAATACACCGATTCCACTGGTATAGACCTCCATGAGTTTTTGGTGAACACACTGAAAAGTAACCCCAGGTAAGAGACTGATGGTTTTATGTGACTAGAGAAATATAGTATGTCATGGTTGAGGATGGACTAAGTGCTGCAAAGGCAAGCCAGGGCCTGTTCTGTATCGGTTTGATAGGAGTCCCAAAAGGCAGGGATATGGTTTAAAAAGTATGGTTAAGTTTGCTTGCCCTAAGACTGGATATCCTAAAATGCTTGCTGTTACCTGATGGTCTCAGTGGCTAAGTGGTTAGCATTTCCATCTAGCAGCACTAGGTTCGTTGGTTTGAATCCCAACTATGGCAATACCTTCCTGGAGTTTGCATTTTCTCCCTGTGTCCATGTGTGTTTCCTCTGGGTCCAGTTTCCTCTGACACTCCAAAGACATGCTGATAGGTTAATTAGCTCCTCTCTAAATTGTCCCTAGTATGTGTATGTATGAATGTGAGTTATGGACCTTAGATTGTACACGCCCCTTGAGGGTTAAGAACTGATGTGAATGTACAATATATATGTAAAGCGCTGTGTAAATTGTTGGCACTAGGAGTACCTGTAATAAACCTAGTTATGTGCACCCTCTGAAGCTGCTTGTGTATATCATGCTAATGTGCCTTTTGGTACATTTAGGAATGGGGGGGCAGAAGTGGTGTTTTTTTCCTTTTTAAAATATTCGCACATTAGTCAGGTCTATATTAAAAAGACCCTGCTGCCAGCTTCAAATTTGGAAGTAAAAGCACAGAAAAATCAAACATTTTACAAATGTTTCCTACAGTGTTTTTCTTTACAAAAATTATTTTTTTTCACTTGTGATGTGCCTTTTGATCTTGCTAGAAAATGTGATTGCTCTAGGAAGTGTGAACTCCATAGCACAGCCTGATCCCTCCTTGGACATTATAACCGTTTCCTTCTTTTGCAGTGCTGACCCCAGCACCTCCACCTCTCCATTCACCTCCCTACATAAACTTTTATGTAGCTACTGGGAGCGCAGCAAAGGGGAATATTATAGAGCCCGGTGCCCAACCTGCAGCCCGAGGGCCACATAGGGCCCTTTGGTATAGGATAGGTGGTCCTCCGACCTCCGCATTTTGTAATTGGAACATTGATTAGGGTAACAGCATTGATCTCTACTAGCTTCATGTAGCATGTTCCAAGTTTTGTATTGTCTCTGCAGCATATCCCCAGCCAAAAATGAAGCATGACCACACCACACTCTGACCTTCATTTCCTCTATTAGGTCTGCAGTTTGACAATCCTCTCAAGCATTACATATATTGAACATTCTATGTGCCCTTTGATGTCAGGGGCCACATTTAAATTGACAACCACTGTTCAAGTGTCATTTGAGTGACCGTTTTGAGGCTGCTGATGTCAAAATTAAGATGGTGGCACCCAGCAACAGTCTTGGCATTTTTGGATACCTGCACAAGGGAGATTAATGGAAAGACTTTGGAACTAAATGTTCTAGAGAAAGGGGCTCTTTAAATCCATGCATGTATCAAGTCTGCCTATTTTTTTTTTTTTGCTAAGGAATGTTTCCTGTAAGCTTTGACCTGTTTGGTCAACTGAATTATTACTGTTGTCGATCGTGTTGTCTTCTGCAGTTTCTCATGTTGCAGTAGTTGGAAAGAATAGCTGCAAGGTGATTGTGACTTGTCATTGAGATGTTTCAGAAAGCCCCAGGGAGCTTACAGTAAGAAGGACGTATAAAGATCAGTTTAGAACCAGAGCTATAAGGGTAACCTTGATGAAGGTGCGTCATGGATGGTTACACCAGAGATGTCCCCCAGCCCTGAAGCACTCCTCAATAACTGGCCTTTTAGCATCTGGCACAAACCAGGGGATTTACTATACCCATTGATAGTTCGCTCAAAGTGACAGTATGGCTGGCCATAGACAAGTGTCTGAGACAGCAAAGGTGGAGGGGGGTGGGGGCAGAGCATCTGCCAGTTAAGTGCTTTATCGCATCATGAGAATCACAATCTTCTTTTTTTCAGACTTGAGAAAAGGTTGAAAGTAATGTTTGCCCTATAAAAAAGGAAACCTCTAAGTTTCCACATTTCTTTGAGATCCATCCAGGAATATTTGTAGTGTGCAGTTTAAAGCTGGCCGTGCACCAGTTACTTTAATAAGAAAATTCTCAGTACATCCATTGACTTGACAAATGTCATTTGAAATTACTTTAAAATGCTGTTTCCTTTTATCATTTTATTTTAGAACAAATGGACTTTACCAAATAAAACCACATTTGCTGTTAGAAATTTGTTGGAGAAAAAATTTACATCCCACTCCTTCACATTTGCTGGTCCCTGCAGTCAACAACAAACGTTGATTTGACCCCACTAACAATTAAAAAGATCGTACAAATGTTCTTTTAAAATAAAAATTTTGAATACAATTCTACTAGTGTATGGCCACATTAAAGTGATTGTAAAGGCTAAAAGTGTTTTTTTTTTTTTTTTTTAACCTTGGTTCACTCTCTACAATAAGGTAAAAAAAACATTTTGGATGCAGCTCTCTCCCCTTCCCCCGCACCCCCTCTAAATACTTGAGCCTGATCTTGATCCAGTGCCATGCTAGAAAGCAGCGGCACTGCCCTCTCTCTTCCTCCTCATTTGACTCGGTGAGAGTAGCGAGAGCAATTGGCTCCTGCTGCTGTCAATCAAATCCAGTGACAAGGGAGCGGGGGGTATGTCCATAGACGCACAGAGTATGGCTCGGAATTGAGCCCCCACAAGTGCACCCCTAGCAAACAGCTTGGTATATGGTAGGGTACCCCTAGCAAGTAGGGATATTTGGAAAGCAGGAGGAGCCAGGAGCGTCAGTAGGGGACCCCAGTAGAGGAGAATCAGGGCTACTTTTACAATTTACTTTACGAGTGGAATGATTATTACAGCAGATCACTGGTGCAATGTCAGGCTCCTGCAAACTCTTCCTACAGCTCTGTGCCAGTACTTGTGCAGTCCATTGAAACTACAAGTCCATCCCCCATGGTGGCAGATGGTACCTGTAGTTCATTCATTCAAGGGATTCCTGTAAATCAATGACATGGCTTTGCGGGCAGGGCCCTGCACAGCCACACAGTTTTTAAAGTGGGACAGAAGGTGTGGGGGGAGGATCAGGGGGTGAGGGGGACAGCTGAAAAGAAACCTGTTACACTCTAATTACACTGTTCAACAGGTAAAAAGTTTTGGGCATAAAATTAGCTAATCTTACATAATTTTGGGGTGCTGAAAACGAAAATGACCCTAAAAAATGTTGATTGGCTCTAGTTTCCATGATATATTCACCCATCTAATGACGTAAGCCATTCAAAATTATGATGCAACTTCAGCTGCATATTGCGCAATTGATACTGGTGACCAATAGAAAATTGCATGTATACTGAGATGATGCAATATTAGCCTTTAATTGCATCACTTCACTGCATAAAAGCTGCAGTATCTGTAGCTGATTGTAGTTCGACAGCGTCTTTACATTTCGTTTTATGCTTATATAGGCTACTCAGTAATGGCTCGAACTTGTGTGAATAAAGCAGATAATTTCTGCTATATCTGCAGTGAAATAACTTTTATCTCACAAAAAAGGAGGATAACAGGAATGATTAAGAAAGCCTACAACTTGTATTTTGGCTGCAAGATAGGAGACCAGGACAAGAGCTGGGCACCACATATATGCTGCAATTCTTGTGGGACGGCACTGGAGCAATGGTTGAATGGAAAAAAGGCATCTATGCCTTTCGCTGTGCCAATGATTTGGAGAGAGCCAACAGATCATGTTAGTAATTGTTACTTTTGTATGGTGCCTCCAATTGTAAAAGGGCTAAATAAGAAGAAAAAGTTATCTGTGCACTATCCAAATATTCCATCGGCAATACGTCCAGTTCCTCATGGAGAGGGGCTACCAATTCCTAAAGCACCAGAATCCTTCGTGGTTGAGTCAAGTGAGGAAGAACCTGAAGCGTGTAGTCACGTGCAGTTGTAAGAGATAGCCCTTTCCTCGAATACAAGAGAAAAGCCAAGAGAAGCAAAACCGACACAAACTGAAGACAAAACTAGTGAGAATCCTAAGTATTAAAATTATTCAACTTAGCTTATGCCTATAATTTTTCTTGGTAATCCTATGCAATATATTATGCCATTTAGGCTTTGTTATGTAGTCAATATCACTTGCTTTATATTTGTGGAAAGACATCTATCTATATAATTATTGTGCATTATGTAGTCATTACGCCTATAGTAGAAAACTTTCCGTTTACAGAAAAACTAGAGCCAATTGACAAATTTCATTGTTATATTTGAACTCAGAATGTGAAATTCATTAAGAAATGGATCCTTTTGTTTCCAAAACTGGCAAAAAATAAAAATTTGTTGAACAGTGTTACAGGTGTATCCTGTTACTTAAGGGCAATTTATCCTGTAAGGGCTACATGAAACCAGAAAGTACAGCTGGCCATACACTAAACTGATTCTGGCTGGTTCCTAATTAATCAGCTGAAATTTTGTCACCACCACATCACCTTACATCCTTTGATTGGAAAACTGAAGGAACTCCTTGGACAATTGTTGGCAGTGCCTGCATCCAGTCAGCTACAGCCATTGTCCAGAATACAATAGCCACAGAGGGAGATTCATCCATCTGTGCTGTTTAGCTTGGGCTTCGGGCTAACAAAGCAGAATCTGAGTTTATAGCCATCGTAAGCCCTCGTTTTGCAGTCTGAGGATAATCAAAAACTGCCTCTCCAGAATACAATTTTAACTGGTAATTCAGACAGGGGGGTTTATTTATTATTTATTTCAGGTACTTATATAGCGCCATCAATTTACACAGCGCTTTACATATATATTGTACATTCACATCAGTCCCTAACCCTCAAGGGGCGTACAGTCTAAGGTTGATTTTATTAAGGAAAATATACTGTGCACTGCAAGTATAGTTGCTTTAGATCTGAGGGGAAGTTCTGCTAATTTCTATCATCCAGTCGTGCAAGTGAAAATGCTGTTTTTTTTTTTTTTTTTATCCCTTGAATGTGA